ACTAGAAGAAAATATTTATGTCTATGTGCTAGATTACAATGGAATTTTTAAAAGGAACCATTCATATGCTAGGAAGCTTGGGTAGCCTTGTGGTAAGAAACTGCACTGCAATCTCAAAGGCATGTGGTTTGAACCCACATCCACAGGAGAAGATGTGCAGTCTTCTGTGCGATTACTGCCTCTGTAAACCCACTGGAGGGTCAGCAATGAGTCAGTTCTGACTAGATGGCACAACAATAGTTCCCGTGCTATATACGATTTGTGGTCATAGGAGGCTCTGGGGCCTTGAGAATAAGAGGTTGTGCTGCCAGTCCAGAGGCAGGCAGTTCTAACTCAACAACTTCTCCATGGAAGAGATGGGTAATTTCCTCTCATGTGACTTACAGCTTCTGGAAACACACTGGAGGGTCAGCTATGAGTTGATTCTGACTTGATGGCTATGAACAATGGCATTTGCTGTCACATATTTTCAGGTATTTGCAATAATCATAATACCAAAAATTTCTAACATCTCAGCAATTCCAAATGAACTCATCTCTCTTGGTTTACTCCAGGGTTTCAAACTGTTGCATTCATTCTAGCACAGTCCCCTGCAGAGAATTTGCAATCAGAATCTGTGTTTTATCTAGATCCCCAGGTGATTCTTAGAGATTACCAGATGATTCATAGGTACACTAAGTATGCATCTCACGCTTAGGGAAGCAGATTCCATTTTCTTCTTGTACTGCTGTTTCTTGCTCTTCAGTGGCAAGGGTTGTTAAATATCATTCATTATGCAAACATTTATTAAGCAGATCTGCGCTAGTCACAAGAAGGAAACAAAATGAATAAGCTGTAGTTCCTGCTTTCAAGGAGTTCAGAGGATTCTGCACATTAAACACTTGCTTTTATATTGTTCAGCAGTCATTTCAATGAAAGGCTTGTGGTAAGAGCTAGCTAGCTCACTGAGTAATAAAATGGTTCTTCACTGACATGCTTTAAGTAAATATCAAAGCGTACGTTCTGAGCAAAAACTGTTCTTAATGAGAAGTTCTGGGACATAGAGTCAGGTGGTTTCTTTCTCCCTTGATTGGGTAGTTAGAACTTTGCTACACAGGATGTGATCCACAGACCAGCATCTGCAGCTTCTGTTGGGAGTCTATAGTGCTGACTCTTGGGCCCTGTCCTGGATCTGTTGAATCCTATATTCTATGAAGATTCCTAGGTGATGTGAATGTACACTAAAGTTGGAGAAGTACTGGGGGCCTGTTGGGAAGGAGCTACACCACCAACCCAAGGATATATTGTATGAATCCACCACCTGCTTTGCAGGAGAAAGGTGGACATTGTCCTTTTGTGCAGTTTATTGCCTGTTGGAGGGTCAGCTATGGATCAGATCTGACTCAGTGACACACAAAGTAGTTTAATGCAAAGTATCTCTGGTAGTGAGTTGAGCTGCTAACTCTATAGCAGTGTCTTTGTGGCAGTGTGACTCTGTCAGAGCCTTCATGACAAGTAGATGAACAATCTTCTTCCTTATAGTTTACAGCCTCTCCAAAACTCCCTAGAGGATCAGCTGTGAGTCAGTTCCAACTCCATGACTATGAGTGAGTTTATTACAAGGGAGCCCTGGTGGCCTAATCTACAGGGATTTGTGCAGCCCACCCAGAGGGTATGCACATCTCTCTAACAATTCTAATTCACCAGCACTTCTGAGGAGAAAAATGGACAGTCTCATCCCATGCAATTTATAACCTCAGAAATCTGTTGGAGGGTCAACCATTGTTCCATTTTGGCTTCATGGCAGAGAGAATTAGGAAGGGATGGGGGAGGGAAGAAAGAGAGATGTAGAGAGAGATTGAGATTGGTTGAGATTGAGATAATGTGCTGTTTTCCAGACTCTATGTTGTATCATTCATCTAGGTATTTGGTAAAAATATGGATTCCTGGTTTTGAATACTTGGGATTCAGCCTGTGAATATTTATTTCTGACAAGCTTCCTGGGAGCTCTGGTAAAGGAACTGCTGTGCCACCCCAAAGACAGGCAGTTCAAATCCACCAGCTGCTTCATGGGAGGAAAATGTGCAATCTTCTCCTATGAGATTTACAACTCTGAAAACCTGCTGGAGGGTCACTTATGGTTCTGACTCCATGGCAATGACTGAGTTTTTTGAACAAGCCTCCAGATAATGCTGGTGCTCTAGCATGCTGGGGAGACTGAATGAACATTTGATGGCAGTGGTGGCATGTTGAAACCTAGCACTAATGCCAGTGTGGTTTTCCTTTGCTTACACAGGAGTCATGAACATGAAGGTGACCCTGTTCCCTGGAGCATATTGCTTATTATTAAAGACTGATGTGCCCATATTATGAAAGACTCTGGCCAAGAGTTGACTATTCAAAGCTTCAATACCAATGGCAACCACCCAGACTGCCTGAGCAAAGTCATACAGATGCTTCTAGTCTTGGCATTTAAAAATATTTATACATGAAATTCTAACCTTGCAAAATGGTAGTCATTCTGGAAGGCAGTTTCGTTGTTTTCATAAAAGGCTGAACATAGAAATTCCATATGACCCAGTTATTCCACTGCTTGAAATATATCCCAAGAAAAGTAGAACTGAGACACAAATGGACATTAGTACACCAATGTTCATAGCAACGTTAGTCACCATCGCAAGAACATGGAAGACAGCAAAAATGTCCAACCACAACTGAATGGATTGACAAATTGTGGTACATTCATGGGATCGAATATTACACAGCACTCAGGAGCAACGATTTTGAAAATTACGACCTAACTTGGCAGGGACTGGAGAGCATTATGCTAAGTGAACTAAGTCTCATAAGGACAAATATTGCATAAGAACATTTTTGTAGAAGTAGATAACTAGTAAAATGTGTATGAAGATTCAAAGGTGAGGATATGAGCAGTGGGGTGAGGATGGGCAGGGGGAAAATCATAAAGTCTCAGAATTTGGTGGATGGAGGGAGGAGGAAGTGGAAAAGATCGTGGAGGGGTTCTGGAAAGACAGGGCAATGGTGGGAATAGTTCAATGGTGATTAATTTTTTAAAAATTTATTATTAATTTCAATGAAAATTTACAGAGACTTTGGGTTTCCATTCCTTCATTGTTGCACTTTTCGTCCCTTCCAACCTTCCCCCCTAGTACACTACCCTCTTGGAAAAGTAAACAAAAAAGTCTTTCATTGTTTTACAGTCTCTCCCCCAGGTCAACTCCACTATGTATCCTTCACTCTGGACTCCTGTCATGACAAAAATACCTAATCACATATCCCTTTTAAACAGTTTTCTCCCTTACCTGTTTCAATGTAGTATACATTATTGAAACCATCTTTCTCAGTCTCTCCCCAACCCCGATATCATTCCTGTTTTACAACAGTGGCCCCATGCAGTATTTGTCCTTTTGTGACTGAGATACTTCACTCAGCATAATGTCCTCCAGGGTCACCCATTTTGAA